GGAATTTCCCCATGGAAAAATCAGGAATTTCCCCATGGAATGGGCAGGAATTTCCCCATGGAATGAACAGGAATTTCCCCATGGAATGAACAGGAATTTCCCCATGGAATGGGCAGGAATTTCCCTGGGAAAAATCAGGAATTGCCCCATGGAATGGACAGAAAATTCCTTGGGAAAAAACAGGAATTTCCCCATGGAATAAACAGAAAATTCCCATGGAAAAATCAGGAATTTCCCCATGGAAAAATCAGGAATTTCCCCATGGAATGAACAGGAATTTCCCTGGGAAAAATCAGGAATTTCCCCATGGAAAAATCAGGAATTTCCCCATGGAATGGGCAGGAATTTCCCCATGGAATGAGCAGGAATTTCCCCATGGAATGGGCAGGAATTTCCCCATGGAATGAGCAGGAATTTCCCTGTCAAAAAGCAGGAATTTCCCCATGGAATAAACAGAAAATTCCCATGGAAAAATCAGGAATTTCCCCATGGAAAAATCAGGAATTTCCCCATGGAATGAACAGGAATTTCCCTGGGAAAAATCAGGAATTTCCCCATGGAAAAATCAGGAATTTCCCCATGGAATGGGCAGGAATTTCCCCATGGAATGAACAGGAATTTCCCCATGGAATGAACAGGAATTTCCCCATGGAATGGGCAGGAATTTCCCTGGGAAAAATCAGGAATTGCCCCATGGAATGGACAGAAAATTCCTTGGGAAAAAACAGGAATTTCCCCATGGAATAAACAGGAAAGTCCCTGTCAAAAAACAGGAATTTCCCCATGGAAAAATCAGGAATTTCCCCGAGGAAAAATCAGGAATTTCCCCATGGAATGGGCAGGAATTTCCCCGAGGAAAAATCAGGAATTTCCCTGAGGAAAAATCAGGAATTTCCCCACGGAAAAATCAGGAATTTCCCCACGGAAAAATCAGGAATTTCCCCGAGGAAAAAAACCAAACAACCCGCCCTGTGAAAAACCCCAAAATTTCCCTAAAAAAAACCCAAAAAACCCAGGAATTCCCACATGAAAAAAAAGGAGAAATTCCCGGAATTTGCCAATCCCGGGATCTCTCACCTCTCCCCGCCGTAGACGCCGGCGATGAGCACGGAATTCCAGAGGGGATTGATCTTGGAGCGCCGGTTGTAGAGAACCCGCGTGAGCCAGGAGTGAAGAGCTCGGGGGCTGTAGCTGTGCCCGTCCCCCAGCAGCTCCTCGTCGATCCTGAAACCCAGGGAATTCCAGGGAATTCGGGGGTGGAATGATGGGAAAATCGGGGGATTTGGGGATGGAAAACCAGGAAAATCAGGGAATTTGGGGGTGGAATGATGGGAAAATCAGGGAATTTGGGGGTGGAATGAGGGGAAAATCGGGGGATTTGTGGTGGAAAAAAATCGGGAATTCGGGGGTGGAATATTGGGAAAATCAGGGATTGGTGGTCAAAAAAATCTGGAATTTGGGGATGGAATATTGGGAAAATCGGGGATTTGTGGTGGGGAAAAAATCTGGAATTCGGGGGTGGAATGCTGGGAAAATCGGGGGATTTGTGGTGGGGAAAAATCGGGAATTCGGGGGTGGAATGCTGGGAAAATCAGGGATTGGTGGTCAGAAAAAGCTTTGGAATTTTGGCATGGAACACTGGGAAAATCAGGGAATTTGGGGATGGAATGCTGGGAAAATCAGGGATTTGTGGTCAAAAAAATCTGGAATTCAGGGGTGGAATGCTGGGAAAATCAGGGAATTCAGGGATGGAATATTGGGAAAATCAGGGATTGGTGGTCAAAAAATGTCAGGGAATTTGGGGACGGAACAGCAGGAAAATCAGGGATTGGTGGTCAGAAAATGACATGGAATTCAAGGATGGAAAACCAGGAAAATCAGGGAATTTGGGGATGGAATGCTGGGAAAATCTGGGATTGGTGGTCAAAAACTGTCAGGGAATTCAAGGATGGAAAACCAGGAAAATCAGGGATTTGTGGTCAAAAAAATCTGGAATTTGGGGATGGAACGCTGGGAAAATCAGGGATTTGTGGATGGAATATTGGGAAAAATCAGGGATTTGTGGATAAGGGATTCAGGGACTCAAGATTAAAAAATTTTGGGATCAGAAACTCTTGGGAACGCCTCACACCCCCTGAAAATCCGGGATTTGGGGATGGGGAACTCATGGGAATGCCTCACACCCCCTGAAAATCCGGGATTTTGGGATGGGAAATTCTTGGGAACGCCTCACACCCCCTGAAAATCTGGGATTTTGGGATGGGGAATTCATGGGAACGCCTCACATCACCTGAAAATCCGGGATTTGGGGATGGGGAATTCTTGGGAATGCCTTCCACCCCCTGAAAATCCGGGATTTTGGGATGGGGAATTCTTGGGAACGCCTCACATCACTTGAAAATCCGGGATTTTGGGATGGGGAATTCTTGGGAACGCCTCACACCCCCTGAAAATCCGGGATTTTGGGATGGGGAACTCATGGGAACGCCTCACATCACCTGAAAATCCGGGATTTTGGGATGGGGAATTCATGGGAACGCCTCACACCCCCTGAAAATCCGGGATTTTGGGATGGGCAATCAATCCCAGCAATCAATCCCAGGGCTTTAACAACAGGAAATTCCCAAATTTCCGGGAATCCAGCTGCCGTTTGAGGAATCCCACAATTCCCAGAGGATTTTGGCCTCCCCAGATCCCGAGAAATCCCCGGGAATCTTACACCATCTGCTCCAGGAGCTGCCGCAGGTGCTGGAAATCCGCCAGATCTCCCGAGGCTCCCAGCACGGTGGAGTCGTTGACCTTGAGGAGCCGGGAGATCCCCCGGAATCGCGCCAGGGATCCGTAGGATCCCACCGTGTCCGCGGCCAGGATCACGCCCCCGGAGAACTTCAGCCCCAGCACCGACGTCCCCGTCACCATCGGGCTCCTGCCAGGGCCGCGGGAAACCAGTTTGGATCCCAGTTTGGATCCCA